ATTTCTAGAAAGCGAACATTCTCGTAGTCTAGCTTAACCTCGGCTTAATCAATCACTTTCCACTTTGCCGACGCTGTCAAGAAAGTGTGCAAAGACACCGTGGTCGAGTTCCTCATGGACCAGAGGAACGTTGAGACAGTCGCCGGCTGTGGTGATGCCACAGCCAAGCTTAAGTCGTCTGACGAAATTACCACCCTCCTCTTTGTTGCCAAACAACGCTATAGCCAGGACCAACACAATTCTGGTCAAACATTTCTCTAGTGCCTCCACCTGAACGGCATGCACTCCTTGAGGGCCAACTGGTATGTTCGTTGGTGTGCACTTGCAGAGAATATACGTTGTAGTTGCCGCCCTACTGGACAATTGACCAGGGACCGTCGTCGGATGAGGCCGCGATTACGACGTCGTGATTGGATCACTCTCGTTGTTGAACTTCATGGCACCTGCCAACCAATGTGGCGACTTGACGTCGCCTTCCGTGTTCGAGAAGACGGTGCAATAGTACAAGTTCGACGAAGCCAGGACGATCGACGAGGCAGGGGTCCATTTATTGAATTGCTCGGCGAAATTGACAATGGCGATGCGTTCAAAGTTTGACTCGGTGCAGTCCGGCAAGCCTACAAATCAGCCATGAGCCCCCAATTGCGATGCCCCCCATCAAAGTAGTTCCGTACCTTTGACAGAAGGACATATAGTGACTCGCAGCCACGAGTTACGGGGTACCTCTGACGTGTCCATCGAAAAAGCAACATGGTCGACGATACGCCCATCTGGGGCGCTCGCGTCGTCCGCGGTCGGGGGGCTGCGGAATCGCACGGCACCGCCGTGATTTTTCGTGATGAAGTCGGACCAGGCACGCAAGGCGGGGTCGTTGCTGTCAAACACGACTTTGGACGCGACGGCGACGTGAACGAGACCGGCAAGAAACTTCATGGCAGGGGAAATGTTGAAATGAGTAGTGAGCCACCCATGGCCCAATGGGGTGTCTAACCAAATGCACTGCGACCGTGTCGCAATAGCCCCAGTCGTCATGACTGGAGAGTCATGACTGGAAACACAATGTGCAATCTTGAACGTTAGGCCCTGGGATGTCCCATACAATTGCGTCGGTGCTACACGCTTCGGACACGTACTTATGAGACGTCATGAAAAATACTCGTGAAAGTGCGATTTCATTGTGGTTATTCCACTTCAACGAGTGGCATGGTCTAAAGGCGTACCTGCCGCCTATTCCGACGAAAAGATCGGGCGTTCGGTGGCACGCACGAGTGGGGCTCGCTCCTCCCAAGGCCACCGCCTTCGGGAAATTCTGGGTATCGACTTTCGTAGATTTTTTGGACCAATAAAACTTCCCAAATGCATGTCGACTGAGCGCTCATGTTGTTCTTTTGTTTCGAAAATTGGTTATTTAAAACAAGAAATTGTCGTTTATGAAGCTCACAGGACGTTTCAGGTCAAACGGTGGCGATATTTGGCGGGCGACGGTTAGCCCGACGCGAGCCGTCCTGGGGGTAGTGCGCTTGCTCGTTCCGTGCTTGGCCCGAAAGTGAGACAGACTTATGTGATGCCACCGTCACCTTCAAGTGAGTATATTAAGTAGACATTATACACGACCCTCCCCTTCAGATCTGCTTCGCATCTCTGAGCCAATTCCAACTCGATTCCATTAATGTACGATATAATAGGCTGATTTTGCAAGTAAGATCCACAAGATTTTCCCCACAAGTTTTCACATCAAATTTCACAGGAATATTCTTGTGGGGATTTGATTTTGCCACAGGAAAATTGATACTTCGAAGCAGTTGTCAAGTTCACCTTGGATGGAAGACGAACTCCCAATCCTGTTGCCACTGATGGCTGTGATCATTGAGCACCTTGCTCAGGGCACACGCGCGATAAGCATACCAAAGGCTCGATTCGACTTCGCCACGCAGACGGAGGCTGACTGCCTGTTCAAGTTCCGTTTCAACAAGAGCGAAATCCCCGAGCTCGTGCACCTCCTCCGCTTGCCCGACCCTGTCATCACTGCTGGGAGACACAAGGTCAGTGATTGTATTGTTTGGATCTTCTTTGACTTTTTGTTTGGTATAGCGTATGCATGCCTTGAAGTACCAAGCCGTCACCTCTCCAGATGGAATTATCGTCCATTTGCATGGACCTGAACCTGGTTCGCGCCACGATGCGTATCTTTTGGCGCGCAGCAATCTGGTAGGAGAACTGTATAGTAGGCTGTGTGTTGGCGACAAACGATATGTTATCTACGGAGATCCTGCCTATGGGACCAATGATGTAGTCATATCTGGGTTCAAGGGGGCGTCACTGGACGTTCATGAAGCTGAATTCAATCGGCAGATGAGCGCCGTGCGTGTGAGTGTTGAGTGGGGATTCGGTATTGTCCGCCAGTTGTGGAGATTTGTAGACTACAGGGGCAATCAAAAACTGTGGTTGCAGGCTGTCGGTGTGCAATATACTGTAGCCGTTCTCCTCACAAATATTCACACTTGCATGCGACGCGGCAACCAAGTGTCCTCCTACTTTGGCATTTTGCCTC